AGTTCCACTACCAATGGTCCCAAACCATCCTCTCTGCCCTGCGGCTGCCATATTATCGGCCTTCCTCATTACCCCTGGCCCCCCTGAGAACCCAGCCTTTTGCTACCTCCCCCCCCACCCAGTCACTGCCCCTCTTTTTACCAAGCGTCTTGTCTCCTTGCTGACACCTTTAGTGTCTGACATCTCGCAATTTTCCACCCACAGCTTTCGGCGGGGAGGGGCCTCATGGGCATTACAGTCTGGTATCCCATCTGAGCTCATAAAATTATTAGGTGATTGGAAAAGTGATGCTTTCCGTAAATATCTCCACCCCTCTTTTCCACTCCGTCTTGAAACATCACAGCGCTTTGCATCCAACCTCCCTACTCACTAATGGTGTTTGGGTATTTTGGGGAATTTCATTCGTAGTGTTTTCGGTTTGTAGTACATACAACAGTTACCAGTGGTCTCCCCTGGATCAGCCTTACAAGTGATTTATATATCACCTTTGAACTGTCACCTTTGACATTTCCAACGCTAGTTGTTAAAGGGGCAGACCACTGATCTCATCAGTAGTAGTAATGTGAGTTTTAGATTAGTAATAAATACCCCTACTGTACCCAAACACCGTCTGTGTGTGTGTGTACTTTTGTGCTGCCCCCTCCTTAACAAACCCAGATTTAAGTTTCAAACATTTATTGCTGGTTGTTTGTATCAGTAACATGAATTATTAAAATCTTTCTTTTCCAAGATTTAAAAAAATACACTTATTATTCAAATATTAGCATTTCATTGATGTATTTAACAGTGTTTTCTGTATTTTGTGTTGTAGATGTTACGTTGTGAAATAGAGGGAGGCAAACCTCTAAAGTTGGTGTTAACAGGAATGTGTGTGCCCTGTCAACCACAGAAAGAAGTCTTACATTTCAACACTCATGTCAGAATGAAGGAGACTAAAAACCTGACACTCACCAACCGTACTAATCAATTATGGAATCTGAGGCCACTGATTGATGGTGAATACTGGGCCGGTGCGGATGCAATTACTATAGAACCACAGCAGAGTAAAGCCTATGAAATTGTCTACAGGCCATTGACTATGACCAAAGAAGGCAAAAAACATACAGTGAGTCAAATATATTAATATTCAGCATGATTTTACATATTTGCTAGCTATGGTATAACATGAATTGCTGTTATTAGCTTATATTATAAGTATTCTACAAAGTGAAATAACTTTCACATACAAATTACTATTCTTCTCCCAGATGATTTGTCATTAATGAACACAGTGGTATTTTCAGAACAGCTCAACAATTGTTGACATACTTCCTTTACCATATTTTCTCTATACATACAATTGAGTAAATGACAGATGTGTTTTATAGTCGAAATATGTAATATTTTTTGGATTCAGTATACTACGAATGCAATTTTAGGTTTATATGCACTTGGAGATGCATTTCTAATAGAGCAAATATAGTACATGTATATAGTTTTTATGTGACCTCCTGTAAGCTATCAACTCTCTTAATTGATATTGCCAGTGATGCTCCATTTATTTCGGAGATGCTCAGCTCATATGTAATTTTGTTGATAGGGAACTGTATTCTTTGCTCTGCCTGATGGTTCTGGATTGTTATACAATCTGACTGGTGTATCAGAGGCACCAAAAGCTGCCGGAAGTGTAACACGTGAAGTACCATGTAAGACTCAATATACTGAACTTTTGTCAATCTCAAACTGGCTCAGAAAACCACAAAGGTGAGTAAACTTAGTTCTAAGATGTCAGTACTGTTAACAGAATGCATGGAATAAAAAGAAAAGATTAAATTGTGTTGTACTGCTGGTAAAATCATTTGATATTTAAAGTTCCACCTAAATTTACGAAACACTTGAAAACTAGTTTTTCACACAAGACAAAAACACCTTTTCCAGTCTTCATGCATACTTTGCAGTATCTCGTAATAACTTCAAATTACTGTACTGAGATGACCAATTTGACCTTAAATCTGAACATTGACCCATAGTTCACTGACTATCTTACCAGAAATTCTAATTACAACTCGTCAATTAACCAATCAGAAGGCTTGACATATCATTATTCAGAATGGCCGAGTCTATGTTTTACAAATAGTTGCCAAAGATTCCAGCATTATTTCTAGTTTTGATCATCAACTGTTTTGACAATGAAACCACAATAAATTCAAAGACAGGTTTTTCTGCCATTGACTGCAGTTATGTCGGCAGTGTATAATTCTTTTGACTGTTGTTTATTGTAGATTTCGAGTTGAAATAGAGCACATCAAACCTGACAAATTAGATCAAGCATCTATTATGAAAGGGTTGGAATACATTGATGTACCAGGATTGGCTAAGAAAGATTATAAACTAAATTTCCATGCACATAAGGAAGGTACTTACTTATCAAAGGTAAGACAAATCATCATTAGTCTTGTCATTTTAAAGATGTTGTAATCCATACTATCATGCCATAGAGGCAGAATGTTATCTTTAAATTTACAATTCCCAATACATCACTGTTTATTATTGAGTATGAATGTATGACTACCAGATATCATACTTATTTTACAGATCACGTTCATGAACAAAGACACTGAAGAATTCCAATTTTATTTTGTGACATTTAAAGCCACCCCACCTGGTGTGATTGGTTCTATTGAAATGTCCACACCAGTACGTCTTTCTACATCATATACCGTTAAGATTGACAACCCCCTGGGTTTCCAAGTAACCTTCATTACCAACTGTACTATCCCAGAAGTCATGTTGCCAGCACAGTTTTTAGTTCCAGCCCAGTCAGAGGTCAGTATGAGTTTGGCACATATATTCTCCCCATGTGTATGTTTTACTGCAGCACAGCACAACATTTATTAAACTTGATTGACCTCCATTTTTCTGTTCATACATACTTGCACAGCTTACGTTCTGTACACATACATAATGAAGCACAAATATGATAACTTTCGGTTCCAGATGACTGATTGATGTCCATTTGTGATTACAGTGAACCAAACTGGAGCATTCCAGAACCCTAAAAGACCTTGATTCACATCGTTTCATACAGATCTGGTTCAAAATTGCTGATGAGAGGCCATTTTGTATACCTTACAAAACTGAATAACATTAAGTATCATGGATGTTCTGTTGACAGGGTAAACTGAATATTGAATACTTGCCTTTGAAAGTTGGAGAAACCACTGGTAAACTGCAGTTGACCAGTAATGAACTTGGATTATACCAGTATGACATGAGCTTATGTGCTACAGCAGCTGGACCAGAGAAAGCACTCTACTTTAGATCTGCACTGGGTGGACATCAACAAGTCAGTGCTAAGCTGATTAATTTTGCTAAAGTTAAGACAGAGTTGGTTTGCAAGGTAAGACAATCTTTAGTTAAAGTCTTTACAGGGGTTGAAATTACAAAAATAATAATACCTGGTTGTCCACATGACAATTTAGTTGTCCAATAATTTTTGATTTTTAATCTAAACAAATATTATATATCTGGAGGAAAGTAGTAAAGTTTAAAACTAAACTTTTTTCCAGCGAAATGATAATACTGCACTGAACTATAAATATTGTAATTTTCAACAAAAAATGATTGTTTAAATGGGCAACCAGTTTCAAGATTTGGTTGTCTCTTGGCCAAAAGGGTTGCCAGAGGCAACCAAATAACTGTAAATTTCAAACCCTGTTATAAACTGCTGTTTATATTGCAATGATGCAAACAATAATTCAAAACATCAGGTTTAAATTTGTTCTGCACAAGGAAAACATTTTCATTCATTTCTATGCTGATCTTTGGGTCAGCAGGTAAAGTGAATATTCACTTGCTATGATCTAATGTAGAATGA